ACATTAAAAAGCATCAAAGTTCCATCTAACTGAACTAGTACGTGGATTATATAGACATGAATGCTTCGTTATACAATGATGAATATAACGGCAATGGATGAGTAGTTATTATTCATCATTTAACACTGCCATTTCTCATCTTGGTTAGGTGTTTATTGACTATTTAGACAATTTTAAACACGTTATAAAGAGATATCTATATAAAGCGACATACAAGAAGACGTGTTGTATCAGTACATATTAAGCAGATACAGAAGGAAAGAAAAATATACAGTAGGAAGAAACACGTGGATTGCGTGTTTTTACGAAGTAGCTGTACATAAGGTGTAGAAGCTGCTCCTTTATTTTGAAATTGTGGGGAGCGGTGTCCACTGTGCGTGTGGTGCCTTTGTACCTGGTGGATTGGTGAATTAGAAAATTGTGTATATCTATATTATCGTCATACATTACGTCTGCTTTTTGGTTTATTTATTTCTTGGGGAATTGAAGATCGTGGAAAGAGTTAATTTTGTCTACGCAGCAAACTGTGATCTTCAATACTTATACGTATTATTATAAAAGAGGTTATTTGAGACAAATATTATTTGTGTCGGGTTTATATTATTTACGCGTATCGAGAGAGCGTATTGTATTATCTCTTTTATTATTTTACAAGTATTAGGCACTGATTGTATTGTACACATATTAGGAACGCTGTTAGGGGCTTTCCGCGTTTTCCAATTTGTATTTTGATTGTTCGTACAATGCCAGGTCATCAGTTACTGCGGGATTCGGTGGTTTTGGGTCTCGCTGGCGGCAATGATCGGATTGATCGTACTGCTCTTATCGCTACAATTGGACAGATTGTTCCTGTGTCGGAAATTGATTCAATAGAGAATTTGGGTAATTTCTCGGAGTGGTTCGTGATGTTCAAAACAACAGCTGCAAGAGAGAAAGTTCTTGCCTTTAGTGAACTTAAAGTTGGCGATCAGACCTTCATCGTCGGTGAACCCTATCAAAACGTGAAAACTATTCGCATTCTTAACATTCCTCCAAC